TTAGTCTTTAAACAAGCAGAAAAATATTCTTATTTGATTGCCAATTTCACCTAAAATTAAACTAGTAGACATTTAGTTGAGGTTTTTTAGCCATGGATGGCAGCTCAGCTTTATAACACAACTAAACAGCACAGTAAGGATACATTTTTACCTTAAATTTACTACACTTTTTTCTTTGAAAAAGTAATTTTTAACAAAAAAGATGACATTTAACCCTTTAAAAGGGCACCAGTATATAAAGTGCTAATTTTTCTACACCAAAAGCTGTAATCGTAAGTTTCTAGTGTTTCCTTTCCTTTTGATTCTAAATGACAGTACTCAATATTTTACAGTTATGAAATTAATATACTTCGTTCCAAGGTATCATGTTTCAGGATTCATAAATTCTATTGGAGGGAAAGAAAAAATTCAAAATCTGCGAATATATGACGCACACATGCTCAATCTTAATACATTTACTGCATTTCAGTCAGAACTGATAATTGAAAGAAGATTATTTATATGAATTTAAGACTGGTATATAAAACATACCGACAACCATACTGAGGGTACCAAGCCAATAGATGGCAGCACCAGGCTTCTCCTTCTCTACTCTGTGAAATGATAGAATTTCTTTGTATTATAATTGTTTATGATGTAATAATTTGTTTATGATTAATTTACATGTTGTAATAATTTGTTTATGATTAATTTACAAGTTGTTTAGGATTAAATATTATGTTCATGGGAGGGATGAGTTTACTGACCCTGTACTGAGAATGAATAAAATAATTTTAGTTTCTTTTTATTCTTTGCTTCCTCTACACTTCACCCTTTCCCCGCATGAAGACCCACCGATTTCAAAATTGTTGTCTAGCATCAAACATTACACAACTGTAGGGGTAAAATGTGGCCCGTCAGCCCCGAAAAACACCCGTCGTTTCGTATTTTCCAAAATCCTAGAATGCAGCGAAAACGATAAGAGGTGATTGACAGCTAATTTTTAATGTGATCTTTACCAAGAGGCTGTGATAAGATCAGACAAAAGGAAAGCTTTACAAACACGGGAAACAGAAATGCAATTTAGGTCCATCTCTTACTGGGATGATAAAACTGCTGATTTGAAAGCATACTTTTATGCTTTACAGCAAGGATGTCAAACTCGCGGCCCACAACAAATATTTTTGCAGCCCGGCCAATATATCGGCAAATAATAATATATAATAATAAAATAACATATCGACGAAGAAAAAAATGAAATGTTTACTGCTAAGTAATTAACGATAATTTATTCAGTGTTGTTAGATTACTCACAGCGAGCTGACACACACACTACTTAAATTACAAATGCGTGTGAGTAGCTTGGGTTCAGCTACCTTCAGCTTTTGGTTGACACGTTCACTCAGAACTTGTACGCATCCCCCGATAGCCGAATGTGGCCGAACTCATGGTCTCAGTTTTCCAATCATAGTTTTGTACGATATATTGGAGCATGAACTTTGCTTTATTATTAATTATTACTTAATTCATACTGTTACAAATTTCATAGTTATTTATTTTATTTAGTTTTTTTTATTTAGAATTGTAATTAGATTTGCTTCATGTTGCCTTAGCAACGCAGACGATTTTTGAAAAGACAGCTGCGTTGAAAGGTTAAAAATAGAACAGCGCGTGCATTTAAAACCTAATAAATAAATATCTTGTAATTGCTGTTGCCATCCACAAAAATCCAGATATTTATAGATGTTTCCAGTATATTCGAGAAATTAATTATAAAGCTTATAAAAGCCGAGAACAAAACAACTCATCTCAGTAATAGCTGTAATTCTAGCGAACTGTTTGTTTACTTAATGCTATGATTGATTTGTAGCGATTTCGCTGTGAGATAGAATTAGTTTCTCTGTTTTGAATTGGTTTTTGCTAAATGTTTGACATTTCGTGACATTGTTAGAATATTTTTGAAGAAATATTTCAGCATTTTGATTTATCTCTTGTGGAAAGAATAAATTTTTGTTAACTTTTTAATGTTAACCGTGTTTTTTCCAGCCCTTTCTTTGTATTCAGTATGTCTATATCAAAACCAAGTGGTAGTAAAATTAAACGAAAAATCGCTGACGAACATAGAATATTCCAAGTAAAATTGGAATTAAAATATTTTTGCTGTGAAATAAAAGATAAAATAATCTGCTTGACATGTAATAATACTATTAATGTACCAAAGTTATATAATATTAAACGTCACTACGAACAACACAAATCGAAATATAACAATTACGAAGGATTAATGAGAGAAGAAAAGTTGAAAGAGCTCAAGTTAGGAGTGAAAAAGCAACAGTCCATGTTTAGTAAAGTATTACAAAAAAGTGAAGCGGCGGTACATGCAAGCTACGTCTTGTCCGAGTTGATAGCTACACATTCGAAGCCTTTTACTGACGGTGATTTCATCAAGGAATGCCTAATGAAAGCTGGAGAAATTGTCCTGGAAATGTAAAGGCTTTTCAATCAATTTCATTGCCTCGAAATACAGTTGCGGAAAGAGTTACTGATTTAGCTGCAAATTTAAGTGATCAGATCAAAGCAAAATCATCTATTTTCAAAAGTTTCTCCATTGCCTGTGACGAAAGCACGGACATTAGTGGCAAAGCTCAATTAGCAGTGTTTCTTCGTTCTTGTGACAAGAATTTTAACATTTTTGAGGAATTACTGAAACTAATACCGATGCCTGGTACTACCACAGGAGAAGATATATTTACTTGTGTTTTTTGGACTTCTGCAGAAATACAATCTACCTTTGGCAAAATTAAATTCTGTAGCTACAGATGACGCTCCATCAATGACCAGGAAAAACAAGAGCTTCATAGCATTACTAAGAAAAAAACTTGGTGAAATTCACGGTTCAAACATTCATCATATGCATTGTATTATACATCAAGAAGTCCTATGCGGCCCCCTAAATTTAAACCTTGTTTGTTTGGCCCAAGTGTACCTATGAGTTTGACATCCCTGCTTTAGAGTATCATCTTTGTTAATTTCAGATGAGAAACTAGGAAGCATAAGAGACATTTTATCCCTGGGACATGATACAAATATGTGATTTTCGAAATAAGTCTTCACAGTTGGTGAGAGCAGAGAAAATATTTAAAAGGCCAGTTTTAGATGCAAAACATTTATCTTCGGAAGAAGGGGGGAAAAAAAGGAGGCAAATATTTTAGTTTTTTTTAAAGTTTTGATCGAAATAAGGGCTTTGCAGTATCAAATAATAAGATCGTTTAACAGCTTTTTTTCCAGAACAAAATGATACATTTCAAACTATATTTACAAAAAATTAAGGGCCCAATAATCGAAAGTGTTTGGGGGACAATTCTTGCTATCATAACATGAAGTATGCTCTTTTTATATATTATCTAAAGCATATAATATAATAACTTCAAAAATACAAAATAATTTTTCAGCTGAGTTGTAGTGTTTCATTTTTAAATTTTTTATTTTTTGCCCGAGTTATGTCTCCTTATAACATTATACTAGTTCAATTACAGCATGGCATGGTTTACACAAGGAATGTTATATTTGATAAATTTTTTAATAAAATAATAATATTGAATTTAAATCACTTTCAAAAGCACTTTTTACCCATATTTTACATAAGTATGTTCAGCTGGGTGGCATCATTAAACTGCATAACGATATAAATTTATTTTTAAAATTTTAAATTTCTAATGAAATTTAAAAAGGTTTTGATCATAACTATATTGAAGCCCCTATCTCTATAAATGCACATCAAAAGTATGCAAAAATTGATGAAAAAAATAAAAATTAACAATTGGCAGATACCTGGAGAAACACTGTCTTAGAGGAGCACTGGTATCATACCAGCCCTCAAAATTCAGGATTTCACTCTAGATTTTTTTTAAAATCTAAATTTTGTGTTCTTAGGTTCCATAAGTTACAATTCATGCAAAATTTTACCACAATTTAAATTATTTTATATACTACCCCTCATAGGGTTACACTACATTATTAAGAGCAGAAGATATTGTTCTAGTAAGTAAAAAATAAATAAATAAAAATCCGTCTTAGATTTGTAATTATTTTTTTGGATAAGACATAATTTTTTTCCTTCTTTATTTTTAATCCTACTCATTAAAAACTGATTAGTAATTTACATTATTTTTTTGTAAACATGTTTCAACTCTTATAGGGAGCACAGGGGTGTTACTCTTGTTTACTCAAGAGATAGTTTATTTTTTTATTTACGTCTCAATTAATGACTGCAGTTTAATTACTCTCAAGTAGCCTGAAAGGACAGAAACACTTAATCAGAGTTCCCTAATTAATGTATGAGGAAATGAAAGTTAATACCCCAGAAGAACCAATTTTATTTATCATTAATATTTATTATCTTATAAAATTATTAATTTTTTGTTAGTAATTTTCTAGTTAAATTTAAAAACGTTTTAGGTTTGTCCCTTGCCTTACTACAGGTTTTTCACACTGATCTTTAGATTTTATTTTTATAAATTAAATTAAAATAGCTGTGCTAGTGCTAGAGTTTAGCTTTAAAAAACCAATTTTACACATTATTTGCATATTATAGTTCTTAAATGTGTGTACATAATTGACTGTAGCCTTCCCAAACCAATCTGAAGTTCAAGGCTAGCAGACCGCACCTGACCGCATTACACACGTCTTAAGTAAAATGTACAGTACAATAAACGAAAATAGTAATTTGTAGCATAAATTAAGTTTTACGTCATCCCAGATAAAACAGAATGTTATAATTAGGATTAATGTACTTGAATAATCCAATTTTTTCAGTTTTTATATTTATGATTTATTAAATGCGATTCCATTTAGTAAAAATGTGACATTGATTTTGATCACACAACACAACCATATAACACAGTAACGAGTAACTACACATAAACTACTATATACATAAAGGATGACATTAAAATGATAAGTACATAAAACTGCATATTACATTACAAAGTTAGAAAACCAATATGTAAGTATATATTTACCATCTCAAAAGAGGATTGGGATTGTAACTGGTGAACTGTCTTCTCGTTAAAATTATACGAATTATCTTTGCTCTCACTGATAAATTGTATGAAACTATCTTCATGGGAAGAACATGCTTTGTCAATGATTAGCTGAGGATTATTTACATGAAATTCAGAGTCTGTTGAACTTAAACCTTTCCTAATGTAAGCTTTATTTACATTATTCTTGAAATTTGAACTGCAAAGAACGAAAGCAATTTTAATTGTTAACTTTAAAGTTTAATTCAAAATAAATATTTCTATTATCAACCATATGTTGAGAGAAATATGTAATTTAAATAGCCTTGTCAGGGTTCTTACCAAAATTCCATTTTTAATTTTTCATGACTAAATGGCGCAATTTCTCTGACCAAACATAATGAACTAGTTATCATATTACACATAAATAACAATATTTTCATGCATTTACTTCAACAGAATACAACAAAATAACTAAAAATATTGTTAAAATTTTAATTTACCTTATTTGTGAAATAAATGAAAGAAAATTAGAAGATGTGCACCTAAACCATTCAAAAATATTTTTGGAAAGAAATAGCAAGCTTTAGGGAGAAAAATATTTTACACAAGACATTTATAGGAGTAATTTTATTCAGTAAATATGACTCCTGTGATATTTTAAAACAACACCGAGAAGCTAAGAATTAGGCTGGATTGAAAAAATACTATTATAAAGTATAACAGTACGTCTAAGTTGCACTACTCATTTTTGAAGAGCAATTACATCTCAAAAGAAAAGAGGGATAGAATATGTATATTTTTAAAGCAAAGAATGAACAACAGCTTACTAAGAGGCAAATAAAAGAACTATGGATGATAAAACTGCTTCAAATAGGGACTGGGGAAAATATTATGTGCAAGAAAAACAAAGATTGCATATGCTTTTTTTTAATTTATGCAATTTTCATTATTATTTAAAACAGAGCTTCTAAAATTGTAAGTCGGAAAGCAAAATGTTGAGGGTCACAAAAATTTGATTTAAATACACAAATTTAAAGAAATATAAGTCACAGTCTCTCCAGTATCTTTAATATATTACATTATGTATAGCACAATTATAAAATCCAAATTAGGCTGTAAATTATATTCACATACTGAAAAGTATCACTACATGGTTCATAATATCGAAGTTGCACTGAAATTTTGACACATATGTTATTTCAGAATCAAAATATGCCGCAAACGCTTAGTACATAAAGCCCTGCAGCATACTTAAATGCCCAGAATAAGACTGTCACTAAAACCTTCTCCAGTATAGCCAATTCTTTCTGTTTCAATGCAGTAAGTTTTTATATTGCAATAATAACACAATATTACTGTTCATTTGATATTTATTTAAAAGATTATTAAGATAGATGTTGTTTTACTTATATTTTAGGTTAGAAATACTTTTTACTCATTTATAAATGGTTAAATGTGAATAATGATGGTAATGACACAGAATGGCAGTGCTGCAAACTCTCTTCAGAACTATTAATCAAAAAGAAGTACCTTAAATGTGAAAAAAAATATGATGAGACATTTCTCCAATCTGGCTTTACTTTCAACAACTATGATAGTAATGAACAACTTCTTTGTTTAATTTGTAATAATATTCTGACTATGAGTATGAAACCACTAAAATTAAAGAAGCATCTTGAATTCAAACATCTCTCGTGCATTAATAAACCAAGAGAACATTTTGAATATTAAAAATCTTCATATAAAGAAACTCGATATTTTGAGAAATTTATGACTGAGCAAAAAAATATTTACTCGCATTATATGAAGTTTTACATTCCAGTTGCTAAAACTTAAACCATTGAAGATCTTTTATTACTTGCAGCTATTAAAATGATATCAGGAGTACAAATAAGTCTCCACAATTTTTTTAATCGAAAATTGGCCATTTATTGTGAATGAATGATACACTATGTTTTTTTCAATGAACTGTCCATCGTTAGCCACTACTTTTCCCCATCGTTCTGGCAGCATATGAATACTGCATTGGAAGAACACTTAACTTTTCGAGGTTATCCAGAAATCAATCCAATTTTTGTTATCTTCATATGATGTGAAAAACTGCTCAGACACACCATGCATTATCAATCAAATCAAGTAATAATCAGAAGGAGCAATGTCTGGTGAATACAGCTGAAGAGAAGGAAAATTCTCATATGAATGTTTCCGAGTAGGTTTTGACCAGCGCCACAACATGTGGATTAATATTTTCATGCAGGTGAATAATTTTGTCATTCCTGAAGTAGTAACAGGGGCTTTGAATGCTTCGTCAATTGTGTTTGGTAGAGAATCCCAGTAATGGTTTTCATTTATCATGTTTTGATCCCACCATACATGCAACAGGATTTTTCTCCATGAATATTCAGCTTGGCTGTCAATGTTGAATTATGTCCAGGTGGTCTCCATGATTTCTTCTCCTTTGAGGTATTGTAGTAGATCCATTTTTTCATCACCAATGACTATACGATGCAAAATCCCTTTCGTTTATGCCGGGCAAGCAGTATTTCCCATGTAAAAAATTGCCGTTCAATGTTTCTCAGCTTCAGTTCACATGGGACCCAATTTCTTTGCTTTAAATCATTCCCAATGATTTTAAACAATGTGATTTTGCTTGTTGAGGCACTTGTAATATAACTGAATGTTCTACTTGCATTTGGCATGAATCTTCATTCAATAATGCTTCCAATTCTGCATCTTTGTACACTTTCATTTGTCCACTCTGTTCTTTGTTTTCAATGTCAAAGTCACTGTTCATAAACTTTTGAAACCACTTAAGACAACTTCTCTCCCTTAAGGCAGCCTCACTATATGCTTCTACAAGCAATCGATGGGCCTCAGCTGCAGATTTCTTCAAATTAAAATTAATCAAATGTTCCCATAAATAACGCTCATTTGGCTCAAAACTTGAGATTTTTGTACCAAAAAATATATGATACTGATATAAAATTGGTAAAATTTCAATGGTATGTTGTTAGCAGATGTCCAACCTTACACAATATGATACTTTACATTAGACAATGGTAACCATAGCTTACTGGTGGTGCCATTTCTTTCAAACGGTAGAGATTTATTTGTACTCTCAATACATATACTGATAAAATTCTGAAAATTTCTTTGTCAAATGACTCCATCGCCAACAGAATTTGAGATTAGACCTCTTTAAGAAAAAAAAAAAAAAAAACCACTTACACATACTAGCATAGAAAACATCAATTAATAATTGTTCTTTAACTTCCTTCAGAAGGACATTCATAGAACATTCGGACGGACATATATAGTAAAGCACAAATTTTTTACAATTGAAGATTTAGTATGGGAAAACTGCACTGGAGTATGCACAGAAAGTGCAAAAGTCATGACAAACAGAAACACTAATTTCAAATCATTTGTTAAAGCCACTGGCTATGATCATCTATTTTTTACAAACTGCCTAATCTATTATGAGACCCTTACAGAAGAGAAGGGGGCCATCAGAATTGAGCAATTTATGCTTCAGGATGTTGCCAAAATTATGAACTTTATTAAAAGCCATACCCTTAACAGCTGTTTATTTTGAATTTTTTTAAAAAAACTGGATTTTGAATACAAAAACTTATCATTGCATGCCTAAGTGAGAAGGATGTCAAGAAGGTGAAGTTTAAGGTTATTGTTATTAAACAAAATCACCATTTTTTAGACTTAACAAAAATCAGATCCTGCTGCTCTTTTACAAAATGGTTTACGCCTATCAATGCTGTCCTATTTGTCAGATATTTTTGAGAAACTGTATGATCTAAACTTGTCTCTTCAATATATTTGCTTCGAATGATAAAATGAAAATTTACGGGTGCCATCCAAATAGGCTGGAATTATTCATTCAAAATGTTTGATCAGCAAATTTATAATAAATAATTGCAAAATTACAGATCACTTAAAAATCCTAGAAACAGTTTCACAAATATTTTAGATTGAATTCTGATATAAAAAAGCTATCTAGGAGTAAAACTATTTTTGACTGATGTTAACAAGATTAATCGCCTACCATATACAGCCCAAGAGAAATTTGTTGAGTGACTTAAATTTCCACAAGAAACCTTAACTGAATTCTGTATCAGAGTGATAAATTTCATACAATTTATGAACTAGTATTATTCTTCAGCCACATATTTAAGCACCACATATTAAGTGAAATGACTTTTTCAGCTTTAATGCTCATTAAATCCAAATACCACTGGAATAACACTGGAAATAACACTGGAAAGCACTGAAGATGCTTTATATTTAGCAATGATAAATAGTGCACCAAGACTTGTTGGTCTGCTCTGCAGGAGAAGGGGAGAAAAAAAGATCATCCATCTCATCACAATGCGACTTTTTCTCCATTAATTTCTTCAAACTTGATACAAAGTCTAAAACTACTACTTTTCATGTGTATATTGCCTAAGGAAGAAATGAACTATTTATGAGAGAACATTTATTTTTTTATATCTTATTTACATTTAATATCTGAGGTTGTAAAAAGTTTTCGATGTTGAAAAAGAGTCATGAATGAAAAAACTTTAAGAAGCATTCATTTAAAACATAAGATTTTCTAGTACCTGAAGAAAACCAATCCTCACCTTTAAAAAATAAATAAATAAATAAATAAATTTAAAAAAAAACACACCTCAACTGTTCTATACAAAGTTTATATTTCCACAGACAATCCTCGATTTTTTTTACACTATTCTTACTTAAACAGTAAGTAGAAAACCTGTTTATATTGAATTATTTTATGCTGAAAGGGTATTAACTGACCCATGAGCCATTACAAGGAATTTATTAAAGAAAAATTGAAATTCCATACTTGAAATTACCACACTCTAAAACAGAATTCAGAGCATCCAAGTTGGAGATTTCTTCTGAAGCTGAATCAGATCCTTCAGATGAATCAGAACTGTTGCTTTCTGAACTTGATTCCGGTTCTTGGGCAGAGTCTAAAATCAAAATGACTAGTTTATTAGTGTATCCTCTGAGACATCTGAAGAATACCAAGTAAAAAAATATATACCACTTATGTAACAATCATAAAAAAAGTAAATATATAAATGCAGTTAATCTTGATTATCCTCTGGCATCTTATAATGTTGTGTGGGTGATGAAACAAATGGAAAATGAGTTTATGAGATCATAACAAACTAACAGTTACGACCTATAGTTGTACACGCTAGTATTTACTAGACCAGAAGTAGGCAATTGTTTTGGCTCTGTGAAAGCAGAGGGCTGCAGCTTTTAAAATGACTGCATTCATTAGTTAACTTTGCATTTCAGAAAAGGTGTAAACTGTACCATAAAATCAGTAAATATAAATTAAATAAAATAGTGGCAATTTTATTCAATCTATTTACTGTGCTAATTTCATATTATCTATAGCTGCATGCACATTTAATTTTAGAATCAGTTTAAAATGAGACAAATATACCCTCTCACACTTTTCTACAATTTTTTTGAAATCAGGAGTGAGACTGCTTGCTCAGATTCTCAGCACTGCAAGTTAATGTCTGTCAGAGAGCATCTATATTTACTCCTGTTAATTTTCAAGCAAGAAAAACATAGCTCACAAATATATGTAGACCCATATATATAGAATATATTCTTAGTAAATTTCTTCATACATGGAAATGTTTCAGCAGACAAAGATTTATAAAAGTCAACTAATGTCACAGCATTAAACGTCTCTTTTACTGTGTTATCTAACTGAATGCTAATAAATTCAAGCGGCAGCTACTCAGGTGCTGTATCAATATCAGCAGTGATAGGATAAGACAGCAAATTGAATTTAGACTCAACATTCTGCAGATGATGCTTAATCGTATCAGAAACACTTTCAGACATTTTCTGTTTTCATAATAAAGAGAAATGATAAAAACTGCCTTCATTTGCTTGCACTGTAAATACACTTAGTTTTGGTTTGAATGATTTTACATGCTTCCACATGAAATGAATTGCTTTGAAATTTGCTTTGTCGTGAAGATGTGTGACCAAGGTCACATATTGAAGGATTGTTATTAATGCATCAAAAACTTGGGCAGTTGCCCCTGTTTATGCTGAAATGTTTGCTAATATAAAGGAATACATTGATTTATTATTACTTTTTAAAACTATACCATTCACTTATAAACACACTGCACATTCAAATATGTTTCTCACATCAGGACACAATATGCTGGCACATTCTACTATACAGTGCTTTATAAACCTGTCATCTGAAAAAGGTTTGTAGTGTTTAGCAAGTTGTATGCTACCATGAAACTTGCATCTGTAGTGCTATTTTGAAGGATTGATTGTTTTGTAAATAATGTTTGTTGCTTCTTCAGCTTTTTCACATACTGCACAGCTTTTATTCTGTGTTCTTCCTTGGAAAGCTTGCAAAAAAATTCACTATGTTTTGTTTTGTGGTGTTTCAGACTGCAGGCATATCGTTTCATGACCAAATGAATACACAAGTTTATTCCCCGTATTACCAAGGAAATTGAATGAAAAATATTGAACAAAAAATTGAACTGATTGATAAATATTGAAAATCATTCAATCAAAAGAAACCACAATTGAGTGCAATGAAGAAATATCTTTAAATTTATTGACTACACGTTTTAGAATTTCTTACAGTGTAAATATAGTTAGAAAGTAAACGAGAAAATCCAGACATAAACTATTTGTCTAAAGGATATGATGCTGTCCTTAACTTAGAAACCACAGGTCGAAAAGGAATTCCAATTTTTTGGACACTTGGGACAGCATAAAACCTACCACAGTTAGTAACAGGTGGAATGAGTAAATTTCTAAATTGAGTTGAGAGTATATGAGACGATTTAACACCTGTTTTAACTTTCGTGAGGTTTGAAATTGAGGGTTCCTTTGTGGAAGAGCAGTATGGCCCTTCATTCATCAGTTTAGTGAATGTGCATGTATGTTTGTCCACTCTGTTTCATAAAATAAATATTATTAATAAAGCTGTCACACCAGATCAACTTTGGCAATGTGTGGAAGCTGCTTGGTCTGCTGTACCCCAAGAACACATCCAAAGTCTCTTAGAATCAATGCTGAGGCATGTGGCAGCAGTGATCTTTAACAATGGCGGCTACTCTGGCTACTGATTCTGGAAGAAACCACACTTCACAGAAATCTATAAATTTAATCATTTGATACTTGGTCAACATGTTATCTACTAAATAAATGTTGTTGTGATATCTCTTATCTTTCTTGGTGTTGCAATTTGGGTGGACAGCAGTGCATTTTTCTTATTTCATTGAAATAGGGTTTCTCTATTTTAAATTTTTGAAATCAAAATTGTTAAATACCAGGGTCAAAAACTTAGCTGTTGGCAATACCCACTGAACAGATGCCCAATGAAGACTACATCCCTTTTTCTGGTCTGGAATACATTAATGTTACAGTGATTTTCTCTGGAAGCATGAAAGAGGATCTAGGGTTACATAATTTTCTGGTTTCCCTAAATATGCTGAAAATGGAATACTTTCCAATTGGTTACCAAATGACTATTACATATACTAACAGATTTTTAAACATAAATTCAGATATCAAATTCTGTTCTTAAGCTTCCTTTTCTGTTCATTTTCTTTTTATAATCAATATTCAGATTTCATTATATAAATTCCAGAATACCACTATTAAAAAATAGAGGTGGGGAAATTTGTTCTTTATGGAAATAGATCAAAGTTGTTTATTTACAGAACTGAGAAAGTTCTTTTTTTTTAAAACAACTCACCACTCACTAACTGTAACTTTGATGAATATGATAAGGAAAAAGGGATGAAGTAAGAGCGGTGTGCAAGAATGGAGCAATAAGTGAAAAGAAATGAACGGGAAGTGGGACTGGAAGTACTAACTAAATCAAAAAAACTAATTCTCTGGATTGGTTTCTTTCAATTGTAGTTTCAAGATTCATAAAACTTCCTTTCTACACAGAGCTAATAATAAAATTCTGGAATAAAAAATGCTCAAAATTAGAAAATTATAAAAATTAAAATCTAAAATTTCCATTTTGGAGGATAAACATTCCTTTCTTCAGAAAATAAGAATTAAACTCTCCTGGTATGTTTCCAACAAGAGAACATGCAAGAGATATAATTCCTTTATGTGAGATTACCACTCACTTACTCTTAAGAAACTAAATCTATTCTCTTTCAGTTCACAAGCAGATCATACATCCCTACTAAAAACAATGGAATTATATTTGTTCACAGATGATACACTACAGTTTTTTTTCAGCCACTAGAAATAGCATTTTTGTGTTGAAATAACAAAATATTAAGCCAAACTAGTAAAAATAAATAAATAAAAAATTAAAATAATAGAAAATTCGGAGAAATATATTGTAAATCAGGTTGGTAAGAGTGTTATCAAAGATTGGTAGTCTCCTGCTTAAATCAGAACAATTGGAAAGTCTGACAATGTGAATAAAGAAGATTAGAGACCTCTTCTTCATCACTCTGGATTTCTAAATACATACATGTATAACATATCTTCTTTCACCCAGCCATTTAGTAATTATAATTAAGGATTTCACTCACAGATGAAGCATGACTAAATATATCTTTCAAATTATAGCCACTGTTCTATTTCCTTCTACAATGTTTTCAGTTTCAAAAACCATATGGTTCACTGGCTGTCCCTCAATCGTCGTCATTAAGAATTTGTTGCATGATCACTAATTCTTATAATTTACATTTTTAAAGGTAATGATGATCACAATTTCAATAAATATAATATATATAAACGATTACTAGAACAGTAAATGCACATTAAGCGATCTTAATCATAAATGATTTTTGGGGATGAAGTTATGTGGAATGTTAATGAATTCAATGTCTTAGGTGCCAAACCCTGAAATATGAAAAACTAGGTTTTTTTTGCAACACAGCGAATCAACTATCAACAAAATAATTCTGGGATCTGATAAATTTGGCCTATATATTTATAATACACAAGTTATTAAACTAATAATATTAATTTAATATTTATGATTTATAATTTAAGTTACTTTTATGGCTAATCACATTTCCTTATGTAATTTTCTTAAAAATTTTTTACTGTGAAAATTCTGTACGGAGAAAAAACACATTTATCAAAAAGCATGATGAAAAATGTGAGAATAAAAGCAATTAATGTGCATATATTACATATCAAGAAATTTGGTAATGTATTACTTAAAAAATTTAAATTAAATACAAATATGTACCTAGCAGTAAATGCTAACAGAAAAGCTAATTATAAATATTCTACAAGTCTCTACATTGGATTACGACAGTTCATGTCAATTAATCAGAAAAATTATGCTGAAAATTAAACAAAATATGAAAAAATTGAGTTTCATTAAAATATTACAACGTGATTATTAATAATTTTTTCAATATTTTGACATTAAAATATTTTCCTGGCATTCCCCCCCCCTCTTCAAAACTTAGAAATGAACAATTCTTCCAGAACTAAATTTTGAAAGAGATAATCTAAATATAGATAACTTTTTTTATCCATTTTATTTAGCCATTTAATTTAGAAATTTGCTAGAAGACCAGAAGATATAATGAAAATTTTAGGAGTCTCATGGTTTTATCAGGTGACTGGCAGCTCTGAAATATGAATAGAATAGTCTAACAATTACAACACATGTTTATATAATTTTTGTCATATACACATTCAATAATTAAGGCAATGATTTAATCATGCAGAAATTGAAAAACACTATATCAAAGATATATGACCCCCCTAAAAAAAAAAAGAATACTTACCAGATGGTGGTAAACATTCTACCCAAGCATTATTATAACTCACTACATTTGGATGACTAAGAGTGGCTATACTTTTAGCTTCTCTAATCATCTATAAAACAGATGAGAAATAATTTGATAGTTTAAAAAATATTATGAAATATAAAAGTTACCTAACATATCTAATTGATAATAATAACTGTATTTGTGATAAAATATTCAATTAAAATTTAATTTCAGAGAATTCCTTGATTTTTGGGTGCCAAATTTCAGCATGCCAAATTCCTGCTCAGACCCCCCAGGAGCTGAAAAGTGCACTTTTAGAAAGTGGCATACAATTCTACAAGACTTGATTAAAATTTTGGTAAAGTCTGTGAAATCAAGATGTGAGGTATGCATATCTGTCCAAGGTGACCGTAAACCACATCAAAAAAAAATTTTTTTACATAAGAGGTGACTTAATTTTTCCATCATTTTGGCTTTAATCCAAATATTTAATAATGTGCGAATATTCAGGTGCCAAACATTGTAATTTATGTTAACTAAGGCTTTTGTAGAAATTTCTATTAATAATTTTAGGTACCAGTTACATTTTATTTCATCATTATCCTTTAATTTTGATGAGCAGTGTATTATAGGTTACAAATGACTTTAATAATAACGAACATAAAAAGTAATTACGAAAATCAGTAATGAGATAAAATGGCTTAGAAAGACAAAAATTGAATTTTATTTACCCTATTGTACTCGGGATCACTTTTGTACTTGAATATAATTTTTTTAACAGCATAAATATTTCCATCAACTTTGTGCTGGGCCTGAAACACATTGAAATTCATCTTTAATAAATTTTAAAAAGGAACAAAATGCTAATAAATTTAACAGAAAATATTCAGTCTCCAAAATTTGATAGGTTTTTTAAAAAAAAAAAAAAAAATAGAAGAAGAAGAAAATACATCAAAAGAATTTTTTTATGCTACTGAAATACACTGCCCTCCAAAAGTTAAGGAACAGCATATTTTTCAAAGCTCACTATAATAAAAATGTCAGTAACGTTTAAATTCACAGTTCACATGCATGACAGTAACAAAGTTTAAAAAAATATATGCAAAAACAATAGCTAGCACTTTTATTTTATAGAAATGAATACTTATAAAGAGAGAAAGAAATGGAGTTGGAGAAAAAATGCAAAAATTATAATTTTTGTTCATGAGTTTTGATCTTCAGTTGTTATTACAGTTTCATGAACAACATTCAGGAGAGTCTATCAATGTCCATGAGAAGTCGTGTCCATGAGAAGTCGTTTGACCGATTCATTGAGGTGGTGGGTGATCGGATGGATGGACATGAGGATGTCACAAGCTGATGCTGCTAGATGTCTCAGTGTCTCTCATGGTGTGGTCCACCAACTATGGAATCAGTTTGAATCCAAGGATTCTGTGTCTAGAAGACATGTTCCAAGCAGACCTAGAGTTACAAAACCTGTGGGAGACCATTATTTAGCTCTTTCGACCCTAAGAAGGAGTAACATGACTGTGCCTCAGCCTCATTAAACGATCTGAAATCATTTAATGGCAACAGGAACAAAAATCTCAGCTCAGTGCACAGATGCCTGCACAATACAGGTCTGTATGCAAGACATAACAACTGTATGCAAGACATGCAGTTGTTTGTGTCCTCTTGAACCAAGGACACAGAGGTGCCCGTTTTTGTTGGGCAAGAGAATACATCATCATGGGCCAGTCAACAAGGACACATAAACAACAGAAACATAAACAACACTCTGTTCTCTTCACAGATGAATCCAGGTTCACACTAGAGAGTGATTCAGTCATCAGCTGATCTAGAAGGAACAATGCACCAGATACAACCAATTCCACATTGTTGAAAGACACAGTTACAGAGGTGGTGGAATAATGGTTTGGGCTGGAATCTCTCTATGTGACACTAACTGACCTGCATGTGTTCCATGGAGGAACTTTGATTGGTTTGAGATACCGAGATGAGATTCCTGATCAATATGTCCACTCATATGCCACTGCTATTGGTCCTGGATTTCTTCTGATGGACAACAATGTGCGATCGCACCGAGCTTGGGTTGCCGAAGAATATCTTGAAGATCATGGTATGGAGTGGATGGAATGACCAGCTCAATCCCATGACCTGAGTCTTATAGTGTATCATTGGGACTACCTTGGGAGACAAGTTGCTGCTTTAAGTCCACCTTCAAGATCGTTAGATGAGCTTGAACAAGGATAAATCTGCGCCTGATCATTGTTTCCCATTTCACTGACTGACAACTTAATTGACAGCAAGGAACATCGCTGCCGCCACTGTAGGGGCAGACACATTCCTTATTAGATCTCATTTTTGTAATGTTACCACCCCATTTTTCTTCAAAAAACTGTGTGTATACTGCTTCTCCAAGACTGGATTTCTGTGCCAAGAGTGCAATTTTTTGTTGTAATTTGTGCCTGTTTTGAAATTTAGAAACATTTCATGTCATATTCATTAAAGAACTGTTTAGTGAACATGTCATATAAATTTCTTGTTTCTATGTTACTTCATGCTAGAATTAGACAAAAAAAAAAAAAAAAAAAAAAATTATGCTTTTCCTTAACTTTGGAGGGCAGTGTATTTCAGTTTGTTACATGCATATTACTTTGAGTATAATTAAGTATTTTTCCTCTTTAATAGTTTAAGAAATATTTAATAACTGCTACTTAAACACAGTCTAATTCCATTAACTGCTATTTCAATACTAACCATCAAGAAATTACCGGAAAACTTATTCCAAAATCTAGAATTAATAAAAATTACGATTCAAATTACATTAAAAAATTCCTTCTCTTAAGCTCTAGGTGAATTTCAGAAAAACTCCAAAACTAAATGCAAATGTCTTTCTTTCAAGCATTGTATCATTAAAAATTCCTCAAAATATAAATTTTCCTTCAAAAAATCAAAGTAATTAGTTTCTAAGATAAATTCAAGTATGTTCCCATATCCATTGATTCATTATTAAAACATATGATATATGAAATACAGATGTAGTGTTTTATTTTATTTTTAAATTAATTACTTTTCATTTTATTTTAAATTAATACTTTTTATTTATTTTTTCAGATTAGGATAAAATGAATAAATTTGGATAAAACTTATTTTAATGCATACAAAAAAATTACACACAATGCACAGTATGCTTTTATAATTTAATTTCAATAATAGTTTACAGACATAATTTATCAATTAAATATTGTTATATTTATAGAGGATGTACGAGTATTGTGTTGCATACATTACTCAATTATTTACAGCTTCACAAAATTAAGGTAGGTCTCAGACCAGAACATTATCTGACATAATGCAGGCATTACCGTGCTTAATTTCAGAGCAGAAGGTCTTGTTATATTTCTTTTAAATACTGCTATATAAATTCTTCACATATTTTTCCTTTATAAATATATATCAAAGTAAGAGGTATTTATTAAAAAAATTCCATACTTTGCACACAGTTCCAAATCCACCTTTAGCTATCACCTCAAGCTCATCAAAATTTTTCTCATATTTATTATCCAACTGAAGATTTGTTGAGAAATCACCACCATTTAAAACTGAACTGAAATGGATGTAAAAGAAACAATCCTTTATTACATTTAAAAAAAATTAAATATCAAAAGTACAAATGGAAATAATATTCAAAATGTAAAATCAATATAAGAAGCTCTTTGAACAAATATATACTAAAAATTTTTGACCAATTATAACAATATGCTTGCAGATTTTGATATTTCTAAAACAATCATATATCATGCATTTAGTCTTTTAAATATACAGTCAACTTTAATAATAAAAATATTATTTATCAAACAACCAATTACATATGTTGTATTGATTGGGCACAAATGATTTTGAATTTTTCAAGGAAAGGATTCAGTTATGGTGCAAAACACATTAGTTCTCAACCTATCATATATTCTTCATTATTATTTACAAACTGCTACTTTTTATTAGATAATTTTTTCATTTTTCTCTTCTCTTGTGGAAGAAACTTTGCAGCCCACGATGAAGATTCTCCATATTTCCATATTACTGTTCTTGGAGAAAAGTGTAGAATGAAATAAAAGAGATAAAATTCTGTTGGGGGAAAAAAACCAATGAATATAGGAGATATGGTATGAACTGCCAACCAAACACCTACAGCTACCTTAGAGTCTGAACAGATGTATGGAATCTTGTGTTGTGATAAAATCTACTGTCAGAGAATTTACCAGCGATAAATGCTTTTCTGTGAAGGTAATCTAAATACTAAATGGAAAGGCAATATACTTCTAAATATTTAATGGAAAATAGTTTATAAATGTTAATATAAATAGAATGTTAATAGAAATGCAGAACTCATTTAGTCTTTAGTTCATTTTCAGAAACTTCTAACAGATCACTCCTGTGAAATCTTGCTAGACACTCAGAACGTTTTCTGGATGTCCTTATTTTGCAACTGATCCTGGAGATTTGTCTGGTCTACAAACAGCATGATGTCATTTAACTTTCTTACACAGAACCCATTCTTCATAACCAGTTACCCTTTGACAAAAATCTGAATGCATTTAACTGGACAAAGTTTGAAATAACTCGCTCACCTCTGTCTGTCTGATAAATCAAAAAGTATCCAATTTTATCATATCTAGCCAGTAAGGCACTCATTTAAGGTAATCCTATGAAATCCTACACTTCTCCACCAATTCTTCAACACTACAATGTCTAAAACTGTAATTATCCAGACTGCTTATCCTTTCTAGGCCAACTAAAATTAAGCTTGAAGTTAATTTATGCATTTCCATTTTTCTTTCTTTAAATTATAACAACAAATAACAGAACACATTTTCTAAAATTGACTTTTTTTTTTTTTTTTAATTTAATTATGGCAAAGCACTTGAAGGCTATCTGACTAAGGGAAGGGATACCTTAGTGACAGATTTTCTAAGGGAAACTGGCTTGTCTACATGTTACAGATGAGGAAAACCATGAAAATAGTCATGCTGCTAGCCCATTTGCTGGAATTCAAACCCCAGACTGAACTACTAGTGTCTGGCGACATTAATGCTCTGCTGCTGGTGAGCCTATTATTGTCTAAAAGGTTATTCATCTAATTCATATATATATATATACAAAAAGCAGCTTAGTCTACAAAATTTGATAAATATATAACTTGTTAAACAATATTAGTGTAAAAGCAATTATACCTTTTATAAGTTTACTGTCTTTTATTTACTGTGCAAGTCACTGCTTACATATAACAAATGCTTTGTCAGTATTTCTTTTAATTAAACAATTTTTGTATTATGTGACTCATTTTCATTAGCTTCTAAACAGGAGCTTGTCTTTCAATTTCTAAGCTCTTCCTGCCCTAATTACCACAGCATTACTGAAAAATTAAAATGTTCAGCACCACATCAACCATTTGTGGCTGACACTAGACTTTCCGTTCAGGCTGCCATTCTCCAACAATCTCCTCCTCCTCGTCAGAAGATGATAAAAATACATCCACTCAGGGCCGTTTTCTAGCAAGAATAATTTCACTGCTGCTATTGCTTTCACACTCTTGGACTGACATTTTGATGCTCAGGGCTAAAGAAAGTTTTTGTCTGCATGGGGCCAAGAACTGCAATGCACTTGGTTTGTTGTAAAGGGAACACCGACCATGAATCCATTTCAATAAAATCTTATCTAGTTAGCCAAACAGTAAAGAAAGCAAAACAGACTTGGCGCGTGACATGTTGAATGAATGCCTATAGGAATTATGTCCCAAATGTAAACTATCTTATACTGTGATAAGAATCACTGGTCCTACAATAGCAGCGCTTTTAAGTGGCGCGCATGACCTGAACGGGATTGCCTAAAAAATACGTGTGCCGCTCAACATGTTAAAACCAATACTAGCATGTGCAATTTCATGCAGCATTGTTATTGTGCATAACAGATAACATTCAGTGTACTTCTGTCAAACTGTGGCTTACATAATGCTCTTACAAAATACCTGATATGCATTGTGTAGCATAATTTTTTTGTTCTCTCTAGCTTATTTAGAAGCAGTGTGCAATGCTCAAACCAGTGCCTTTTTCCTAGACAGAATGCCAGAGAATCTTATGCTGATCTGTCAGCAGCTAATGAGCACAGGAATTTTTTTTTTCAAAATAAAAAGGCTACCAAAAAAAAAAAAAAAAAAAAAAGAGAGAGAGAGAGAGAGAGAGGTAAAAATTTTGCACATAACTCAATATTCTCATTGATCACTGATTGAATATTCTCATATCTCTCTGGATTTCTCAAAATTGGTCCTTAAGAACAATTAAAAAGTTTTAGCTTGCATAACTAAAATAATACGTTAATATTAAAATCAGATATTTACAGCAAATAAGCTAATTAGAATTATTTTAAAAACTGACAAATGTTTTAGCCTCATAATTTAAAATACTCTCTTTAGATATAATTACTCATTGAAAAACACAGCAACTAACTTTGTTGGATGCATATTTAATATTTGCATTCCTTTTTTTTCTTTGTATATTTTATTTCCTCACTGCTTAATTTTATGTTATGATTTTTGCATAATCTTGTTACTGGCAACGTGCTTTATTTACTATTAAGTTTGTGTGAGTGGCAACAGTTGTTCATGTTTATGTTTCAGTAGAATAGCGTTCTTAGCCGCACTGCGCTGCAGGCAATTTTTCTCTTAAATATTTCATCTTTTAGAATAGCAATAAAGTTTATTATACAAAGCTGATGCTTTTTAGTTCAAGGCAACTATTTGGTTCCCCAGGTGAGGCATTTAATGCTATTTAATGTGTTATTATTATATGCTTTAGAACTGTGTTTAACGAACTTTTAAGTACTGGTACTACTGCGAATCGTCCTGCGTGACGTCAGAAAGATAAGCGGAAATATTTTTGCTGCTTAAGTATCTTGTTGAAGTTATTTGTGATTATTAATCATTATTCATGGTAATAATGACAGAATTTAAGTGAATCTGATCTTAAAAGATTAAGAGGACGAACGAAATCTACCCTAACGCGGCTTCACAATAGTTTCAGTAATCAGTTAAGTTTAACGGAATTAAAAGCACGATTAGAAAGAATTGAACAAATATTTAAAGAATTTGATCAATATGATGCTGCTTTACCCGAAGAAGCTTCTGAAATTGCTGAATTCGAAGCTAAATATTTTGAAACGAAAGTAATGTATCAATCCGCCATTGAATCCGTAACGGCCAGAAATGTTTTGATTTCAAATCCCACTGCAGTTGAGGCTAGCTTTAAACTTCCGCGTTTAAACATTCCGAGTTTCAATGGTAAATATACTGATTGGCTTAATTTTAAAGATCTGTACATGGCGACAGTTCATACCAATCAGTCATTAGCGAAAATTCAGAAATTCCAATATTTGATAGGACTTTTAAAAGACGAACCAGCTGCTATTATTAAGCACATTCCGATTTCCGAAACTACATACGATGAGGCTTGGGACAAATTGATGAATCGTTATGATAGAAAAAATCAAATTGTAATGTCGCTTGTCAGAACATTTCTTGAGCAACCCAAAATTACTAGCGCTGATTCTGTTAATCTAAGAAAACTATCTGATACATCTGATGAAGTTATCCGTGGATTAAAATCTCTTGACGAAAAGGCTTCGTCTAGAGATGTTTGGCTAATTTATTTTTTGTTAGAAAAAGTCGATCCGGAAACGCGCCATTTATGGTCACAAAAAAAAATGGTGAAGAAGAATTTCCTACCTTAGAATGTTTTTTGGAATTCTTAAACTCAAGATGTGTTTCACTTGAAATGTTAAACACTCATAATGCTGAAAAGCGAGTATCGCATAAAAATCAGTGCTCTGTTTCGAAGAATGTTTCACATAATAATAAAAATTCTGTTCTAAAATGTCAGCATTGCAATGGTTGTCATTTTTTATCAAAGTGTTATAAATTTAAAGGTGCAGATATTACGACTAGGAAAAATATCATTCGCAAGAATTTATTATGCTTCAATTGTTTCGGAAATCATCAATTAAAATTTTGTTCATCGCAGAATGTGTGTTCTATTTGCAAAGCAAAACACCATACTTTACTGCATGAAGATATTAAAAGTAATAACGTAGTTGTGTCAAATTCATCTCCATCTGATGAACAAATTTCTAATTCAGACGAACAAAATAATATTTCGAGTTTTTCTATTCAGGGTCAGAGTACTTCATTTTTACCAACGGCGGCAGTAATAATTTTACGACTTCTGCTGGTCAAGGTCACGAATGTATCATTCTTTTTGACAGTGGAAGTGAAGCTTCTTTTATCAGTGAATCATTTATTCGACAATTAAATATACGCAGACAAAATGCCCGTATTTGCGTAAAGGGACTTGGTGATTCTGAAGCAGCTTTGACTCGTGGTTATGTAAATGTAAAATTGTTTCCGAAATCTGAGTTGAAAAAAAAATGGTGTTTTAATACAAGCATATATTCTTAAAAAATTAACTTCGCATTTGCCTTCAGTAAAGATTGATAGCAAGGACCTTGATTATTTGAATTCAATTAATCTTGCAGATCCGAATTTCAGTACGCCCAAAC